TTGTGTTGGTTGTTTCACTGTAGTTATTCATCTCTTGGCTCCCACGAATCTGGAAGATTCTGATCAGAGAAACTCCCTCTTGTACTGGCCTTTGTAGTGGAAAAAAAATTCCCTGTACCATAGTCACTGGTCACAGAAAAGTATTAGACAACTTGCAACACTAGCAAAGAGTGTCAAACTTATCATTAAAAGCAGCTGGAGGAATGTCTCTACAGCCACTGTTTGACTGTTTGACTGACCTGAAAGCCTGGCTGGCTCAGAACTTTTTAAAATTAAATGAGGATAAAACTGTGTGTTTTATTTGGTGATCTGGCGAAATTTGCTGCTTTTAATCATGACTTAGGCCCTCTGGCTCATCATTTGAAGACGACTGTAATAAACCTAGGGGTAACGTTTGACTGCGACCTAAGATTCGGCAAGCAAATCAACTCAGTCGTAAAATCTAGTTTCTTTCACCTGAGGTTGGTAAGTAAAGTCAAGTCATTTCTTTCTTTTAATAACTTTGAGATTGCATGCTTTTATAACTTCTAGACTTGACTACTGTAACACATTATAACTTGGTGTTAATCAGTTCTCTCTCTCTCGTCTTCAAATGGTCCAAAATGCTGCTGCTCGTCTTTTAACAGGTACTAGGATTTGACCATATAACTCTGGTACTGGCCTCTCTTCACTGGCTTCCAGTTCGTTTTAGAATTCATTTTAAGCTATTGATTTTTGTTTTTAAGGCTCTTAATGGTTTGGCACCGCCTTACCTCGCTGAGTTGGTGAGGTGGCACAAACCAACTATATTACTCAGATCCTCAAGCCAGTTTTTGTTAGAGGTGCCCAGGGCCAGATACAAACGCTTGGGTGACTGTGCTTTTATTGTTGCAGCTCCTAAATTGTGGAATGGTTTACCTTTTAATGTTAGAACATCTACAGACTTGACAACTTTTAAATCATTGGTTAAAACATATTTATTCACTTTGGCTTTTAATACATAGGGCTGTCTAATGCTTCCTCCTTTTATCTGTTGATTCTGTGTACTTGGTGTTTTTATGTTCCTATGTTGTTTTATTTCTCTATTGATATTTTCTACTCTGGATTCGCATTGCCATGTAAAGTACTTTGGTTGACCAGACGTTTTTAAAGTGCCATGCAAATAAATTTTGATTGATTGATTGAACATTTCAATTAATTCAAAACTTCACAAAAATGCAGCTGCAAAGTGATGACCAGATGTTGTATGATACCTCAGAGTGTCAGGGTTGTGCTCCGCTCCCTGTTTCTCTTTCTCTCTCTCTCTCTCTCTCTCACTCACTCTCTCCCTCTCTCCCCGCACACATCAGCATCCCTGGAATGCTCCGCAGCTGTGGCGGATCTGCCTAATCACCACCTGTCCTATATATCCTCCAGTCTTCCACTCATTCACCGCCAGTTCGTTGTCGTACCTAGGTTTTTGGGTCCTAAAAACCTGCAAGTAAAACCATCACCTTTATTACTGCACTCTCTGCTGAGATTTGTACCTGCTATATGGAGTCCTGCCTCCGACACTGTGTACTGTAGTACACATTGCACTTGCTTCTGTCTCATTGTCAGCTTCTGTCAACACAGCCAGCAGCTCATCTCTCCGGCACCATCATGTCTGGGCCAGACGATCTGCACTCACCTCAGCTCATCACTCAACTCAGCTCGTCACTCGACTCAGCCATCACCCACCAGCAGCTCTCCTTGTCGGCACCATCCCATCTGGGCTAGCCTTCCTACAGCTACCGTCTCTCTCACTGCTCAACTCAGCCGTCGCTATCCACCTCCAGTAACTCCTCTTCCTTGCACCACTCCTCCGGGTCTCCCTCTCTCCACATGCTCCCCTGTGAACTGGACTGTCGTTCCTGACTCTCAGCCATTGCCACCATCAGTTTTTTCCTGTTTTAGTTGTGCTAATAAAACATTCTTTATTTATCTAAACTGTCACACTGCATTCTGGGGCCTTCTTACCTCTCTCTCGCCCCCTGACCCCAGAGAGATCCTAACACAGAGAACTGCATATTACAGACATGAAGGTGAAGATTCAAATGATCTCTTTTTATTCTGTTAGCATGTCTTGAATGAGCCAAATTTTGTAACAACTGAGTCAACTTGAGTGAAAATTGTTTCACATAAAAATGAGCAATTGTACAAAAAGATCGCTAGAACAAACCTGGTGCACATTATGAAACATTTATCAGGTACTACAAGTGCAAAATGTCAACAGTATAGGAGAACTGCACAAGCGTTCATCTTTCTTAGAGACCTTCATGTGTAGTAGAAATTAACTCTTGAATTGTTGTTTTCCATAAATTCCCACCAGCCCCATATTCAAGAGGAGTCCAGATATAACTAAAGTCTGGGGTAAAAAGTCAGAACAGCTGCTGAGGATCGATGACCATGATTTTACAATGCGACCAGGATTTGGAGGTAAGGTTAATGTTTCAGATATTGACTGAAGTCATTTATCAATCACTTGTCATACAGGCAACCCTTAGACTCTGATCTCTCTTCAAAGATGCTTTGGAATTAACTTAGTGTCAAGACAAGTGAGTTAGCAACATTCAGTGTTCTTTTATACATTACACTAAACCCCCACTTACACCATTTGAGCTATACACTCATATAAACAGGGCAAGTGTAAGTGTCCAGTGCTGGCTTGCAGAGATGACATAACCAGAGTAGGATTATGTCTTCTGCTGTTGGTCAAGGATTAATTACCAAGTGGCCACAGTGTATAGCATTAGGTCTCAGTAACTCCCATCTTAATCGACCACATTAGCAGGGTTGATTCTGTGTTTTTTAAATTGTCACACTTCCATTTCCTCTATACATCCATATGCTCATTGAACCCTTTAAATATTTGCTCTGTCCAGTGTGTAATTTTGGATCAATAATTATAAATCCATTTCAAACTAGAGAAATGCATTTCCTGTCAAATACATGTGGATGCTGATATGCTGAAGGATCACCCTGAAAATGCCTGAAATCAATTGCTGAAACAGCTGAATGATGAGAAGAAATGGCTGAAGTTCTTTGATGAAATAGTTAAAGGTTGAGAAGAAATGGCTTAAGTTCTTTGTTGAAATAGCTGAAGGATGAGATGCAATGCTGAACAACTGACCATTTAGATACCAGAACAGTATTTGTAGTTGAAAGTATGCAGGAGTTATTAAGCACCAAAAAAAAAAAAAAAATGTTGAAAAAAAGCTGAATTTCTTAAAAAGTACAAAGGTTATTAAAAAATACATACAAACAGGAATGTCCTTAAAACTGGTGTTTGTGGCTGAAAGTATGCTAAAGTTAATAAGATGTGAAAATTGTGCCCATTCATTTGAGTGGGGCAAAAATTGATGAAAAAAGTTGAATATTAAAAAGTATAAATGTTACAAACAAGAAAAATACAGGCAGGAATGTCCTTAAATACCTGAACATTTTGATATCTGAATGGTATTTCTAGGTGAAAGAATGTGGGAGCCAAAAACGGGCAGAACACACAGATATGTCTCAATTGTACAGCATTTTATTGACCACCAGATGGCACTCCAGGACTGTGTCATTGAGCTGCAGCATTAGGATGGCTCAGCATTTTGAGCTGCCATTGTCTTCCATTATTAAAAAAGCTGAATATCTTAAAAAGTATAAACATTATAAAAAAGATGAATAGGAACAGGAATGTCCTTGATTATCTGAACAGTTTAATACCTGAATGGCCTTTATAGCTGAAAGTATGCTGGAATTATAAAGTGCCAAGTGTTGAGGATTTGATTTGATTTGATTTGATTTATTCTTTCAAGCATGTAAAGACAGTTGATATGTCAACATATGATTTTACACATATCCAACAAATGCTAATCCAATATCAATTTGCTTATACCTAGAACATGCTTGAATGGAGTAGGAAGAAGTCAGACTTATCCAGTCCTACCCCATGACATCATCTTACCATCATTGGTTTGCAAGCAGTATCTCTACATAAATAATTCTCTTCTACACTACACAAGTAGTATACAAAAAATTGTAAGTGTTAACGTTCTTACATAATTACATTCTTAAATAATTATCTTCTACACCACACAAGTAATATACTAAAGAATTATTACAAAGTGTTAACATTCATACACCACACCCACAATGTTCCATCTAATTAATCATTAAGCCTGTTCTTGCATATATCTTGATTGACACAAACCTTTATATTTATGTTTAAACTCGTCAATTCTATTACAATTTTTTATGTCTACACTTAAATTATTCCATAGTTTTACCCCACTTATGGAAATACAAAATCTTTTTTTGGTTGTACGTATAGCATGAATTTTTAAATTTAACTGACCCCTTAAATTGTATCCCCCTTCCCTTTCATTAAATAGTTTTTGAATTCCACCAGGTAATAAATTGTTCCTGGCTTTATACAAAAACACAGCAGTCTTATATCCCACTAAATCAAAAAACTTTAACAATTTAGACTGTATGAAAGCTACATTGGTGTGATCCCTATACCCCAACTTATGCACAATTCTTATCGCTCTTTTTTGTAATATATACAATGGTTGAAGTGAGCTTTTGTATGTATTTCCACAGTTTTCAACGCCATACTCTAAGTATGGTAAAATCAATGAAGAATACAAAATGCATAGTGCTTTCC